TCGGCCCATCAATGAATAAATATTCGTTAAATCATCGTAATATTTACTCGTTTATGCGTTTTAGGATAGTCGCGATGCTCTCAAAAACATCATCGCCGAAGATCGCATCGAGAGCTATGTTATAACTTTTCGAATTTTATATAAAACTAATAACAATGTTTTTTTAATACATTCAGTTATGTAAGAAGAAACTAGATTTTACTTCAGAATTTACTTATTTAACACAATCCGAAAGGACCTACGTATTCTTCTGTTCTTTCTAACTTTTCCTTTTTCCTCTTTTTTTAAATTTCTGTCTCGCAACTTTTTCATTTACCTCTCGTTTTTGCATTATTTATTTAAAGTTATCTATTATCTATTTTATTTTTTAATAACATGCCAGTCTTTTAAGCTCTTATTTCATCTTGTTGTATCTATAACTATCTTTTTGTTCTTATCAATTTTCATCGTTTTTTTGTACTGTTTATGATTACAAAAGAAAGTGAAAGAAAATAACAAACATTGATAAATGTAGACGATAATGAATTGCAACATGTTTGCGATAATCGTATACGTGGGTTGATCATCTCATAATCGAGAGAGAGAGAGAGAGAGAGAGAGAGAGAGAGAGAGAGAGAGAGAGAGAGAGAGAGAAGGAGGAATACGCGCAAGGCTCGTAGAGAAAAAAAGGACGTTGTAACAAGAAGAACGTTGTAACAATTACAGACGACGTTCTGCTCCATATCTTTCTTCTTTATTTTTTTTTCTCTTGAAAATTGAGAAACGCGAGAGATTCTCGTTGAAGCTGCACGCGAATGCCGCTGCGGCGAATCACACATCAAAGCGGATTATAATTTCGCGATAATTCTAAGGGGTACGGTAGAAAAGAAGAGAATGGGAGAAAAAACAGGTAGAGTGAGGAAGGAGGTGCGAAAGAAATCGAGATTTTTATGTAGTGACGATTAAGTGGCGAAAGTAAAGTGCGATCAGACATCGAGCCAGAAAATGAGGCACCGAGATCTCTGATTTCACATACCGAAATATCGTTGTAAACGTCCACAAGATTTGTCAAGGATGCCTTTATGTCACGGCATCATTATTATTATTATTATTTAAATATTTATTACTTAAATATTTTAAATATCCAGAAGGTTTGTTATTTTATAAATATTCCTGAGATGTTCGTATTATTTGGGCTTTGTGCTCTATGTTTGATCGTGCTTTATCTTTCGCTCAACTTTTATTCATTGCTGTTTCTCTCTTGGATATGTATAGCAGGGCACATCGGGATTTTTAGTCGAGTTGACGCCTCGGTAAAGTGTATAGTGAGAATCTTGGAGGTGGACGAGTACAGAGAAAGAAAAATTCAGGAAAAGTAACAAGTTAATGTGCGAACGATGAAATAAAGAATTTAAAAAAAAATGGTAAAAGGAACATATATGTACATGTGTGTGTATATGGTGTGTGAGGGTGTGTGCGTGTGCGTGCGCACGCGCGTGTGTATGTTAAATTGGTTCTAAACTCATTGTCCAGTTGTCTCGAGTGAGTTCAAGCTCTTAAAGAGAGATGGGAAGAGAGAAAGAGAGAGAAGTGCACGAGTTGTACACAGCCGAAAGAATAGTCCACCTCCGAAAGTCACAAAAAGCATATTAAAATAGTACATGCCACCTTATCGGGAATGATTGTGTGATAATTACAAGTGATTTGACTAGGCCCCCTTCCCCTTTCTGGGTGATCAAGATTTTTTTTCGATTGCACATTAATATCTCGGTGACTAGATCTAGAGCGCTGAATAGACAAAAGTATACTTTTTTCATTTTACGCTCTAGATTTCAGATTCCGAGCTGATCGAGACGCGGCTAAAAAAAGCACCCTTTGTAATAGTAATCCATCGGTTTTACCAACGAGGAAGAGATTCCGAGAGAAAGTTGGGAAGGAATTCCTTGCTCGCGAAGCTCGCCGTAACATCTCGGTCATGTTGATTCGATTAAGCCTCGCGGTCGTAGCTTAATCTTATCATGGGCCGGCGCCAGCTCGCGATCTCTTTACGAGACTAATTTAGGAATTCTCGCTGTTTTGCGTATTCTTTGGCGATAAGCAGATTGTCAATTTCGTTTTGTATCGCGTATATGTAAGACTCAAGCGATCGCCGCCATACGTGCGGCCGGGGAAGGGGGTCGTATATGATGTGATTTCTTTTATATCATAACGAATAATGAACACTAAGAAATATTATAGTTTCATATAAGTGAGATATGTTATTTGTCATTTATTTTATCTCTTAATAAATGATGTTATATAAAAAAAGTCAACAGGTTCTTCACCTCGCCCTGTCCAAAAGCGACTCATTGCTGAAATGCTATTCTTTGAAATTATAATATTAGAAGAAAGTTCTTGCAACATCGATTAGCTGACTGATACTAATTTTAGTTCCGTCATCCTTAAATTAAAATGGAATTTCAGTTTCCAAGATTAAAATAAAATCCGTCGTAACATATTTTTCATCTAACTTCAATTATTTTTTTAAATTATCAACAGCGATTATACAGAGTGATTCAGAATAACCTTTTGTCCTTAAAGGGACATATTTTTGGTGCACACATTGACCGGATGCATTTACACGTTTATAAAAACACATTCCTTCTTTTTTTCCCTTCCTTCTATTTTTCCCCTCTACCACACTATCTCTTTGTCTTTCACATACTTTAAATATTTCATTAAATTATAAATTAGAATGATGAAATTAGAATGGATATTAAACCCTTTGAGTATTGGATTGCATTCTAATTACATTGATAAAATTGTTAGAGAAATGTTGTAAAAGAGCAAAATTGGACAATAATTACGTACGATGAGTATTATAAAACTATTGATATACAAATCATATAATTATTTCAGTACGTCGAATTCTAAGAGCGTTTTGTACAAAACGTACTGAAATACTTGTTAGACTTAATTGTATGACAATAGGCATCACAATACTTGTGGCACGCAATTATTGTTTAATTTCTCAATTTTACAAAAAATGTCTAACAATTTTATCTGCGATATCGCGTTCGTAGTATTTATTACATATTTATGACAAGTTTTATGAGAAACGCGATTGTACTTTTCAGCATTCAAAGAGTTATAAATGTTTAAAACAAAAATGTAAATTTACACTTTAAAAGCTTATTATTATCTCAATTATAAAATTGTTATTACCTTGTAGAGATGTTCAACGATTCCATTTTGCTCTAGCTTCTTGAAACAGTTGGAGGAATAAGTTTGGGTCCACCGTAATAATGCTCGACTGTTCACTGCAATTCACTTCCATCACTCAAATATTAATTTTTCTTAAGTACATAGATATCTAGTCACACGTACGTTTCCACGATGAGATTCTTTTATAAATTATGTTACGTTTCAACATATTGACACAATTCGATTACATTAACTTGACAACACGAGGAATTTATTAACCGATTAATCAGTTAATCACTTACAATCACAAACGATTGTGATATTCGGCGATTGAAAATCATACGAAACTTTAAAACACGTGTGTAAGCCGCTCACAACAACACAACATGTGTTACATGCGTAACGTGCGGCAAACAGCTGACTGACTTTCTTGGTCATGAGCAAAGCCATAGAGAATGGACTGCGCGATCCGTGTGTCAAAATGTTCGATAGGGATGAGAGAGAGGGACCGTGGCAGACGGCCATTTCTATCTCTTTCCATTCAACGGTGTAATGGGAGAGAGAACGAGAGGGGGATTGGCCGTCTCCCACGGACCTCTCTCTCATTATTGTCGACCACATTTCATACATTACTTAGATACGGATCGCGCAGTCCATTCTCTATGCCTTTGGTTATGAGTGCAATGAGTGCATTCACGCATCACTGAGGCGCTGTGTAATCAGCACTCATTGCACTCATAACCAAGAAAGTCAGTCAGCTGCTTATCGCACGTAACACGTGTTGCGTTGTTTTGTACGGACTTAGGTTGCGTTCAAAATCTCACTACAAATGCTTTGAAGCGTTTGGTTGATCAATTAGAAGAAAGAATTTTGCAAATTAACCAATCAAAAATTGCTTTAAAGCATTTGTAGCATCGCGTTGATCGTACCCTTACACACGTGTTTTAAAGTTAATATTTGAGTGATGGAAGTGAATTGCAGTGAACAGTTATGTCGAGCATTATCACGGTGGACCCAAACTTATTCCTCCAACTGCTTCAAGAAGCTAGAGCAAAATGGAATCATTGAACATCTACAAGGTAATAACAATTTTATAATTGAGATAATAATAAGCTTTTAAAGTGTATTTGACTTACACACACATTTTTGTATTAAACATTCATAACTCTTTGAATGCTAAAAAGCACGATCGCATTTCTCATAAAACTTGTCATAAATACGTAATAAATACTATAAACACGATATCGGAGATAAAATTGTTAGAAAAATTTTTGTAAAATTGAGAAATTAAACAATAATTGCGTGCCACAAGTATTATGATGCCTATTGTCATACAATTAAGTCTAACAAGTATTTCAGTACGTCGAATTGTATGAAACGCTCTTAGAATTCGACGTACTGAAATAATTGTATGATTTGTATATCAATAGTTTTATAATACTCATCGCACGTAATTATTGTCCAATTTTGCTCTTTTACGACATTTCTCTAACAATTTTATCAATGTAATTAGAATGCAATCCAATACTCAAAGGGCTCAATATCCATTTTAATTTCATCATTCTAATTTATAATATAATGAAATATTTAAAGTATGTGAAAGACAAAGAGATAATGTGGTAGAGGGGAAAGACAGAAGGAGGGGAAAGAAGAATACGCGACCCGTGATACGCTACTACTTCTTGTAATTTGAAAACTAAGCTTCGGACAAAATTTTCGTAAAGGAAAAATTGTCTCGGAATACGACCAGGAATATGGCTCTTTAAGGACAAAAGGTTATTCTGAATCACCCTGTATATACAGTCTGAAGAGGGTCAGGAAGAAGACAATGATCGCCCTCTCTCATCGTACATTTATTCACCGGCTATCAGCATATTACAGCACACGTTACACATGACACCAAACGTCTAACAAATCGATTAGCGCTAACGATTACTCACTCTCAGCCACATTTGCATAAAATAGTCCCATTATGAATCTCACTGCTGCTTTCTTCGCGCGACGATATTTACAGAATACTTTGCGTGTACAATTACATTGTAGGCAGTCTCTCGTAAAAAGAGAATGCATTTACAGAGCGTGTTTAAACGATGTTCTGTGCATGGATTGAACGTTAGATCTCGTGCGAGAGTAGCATGAATGTACTCCAAGTGATATCGTTAAAGATATCGGTGATCGCCATTGTAGATATATATCGGATGGTTTAATTTTACGAGCGTAGGACGGGTTGTTCATCATCTGTCATTCAATGTACTATTCTTTTGATCAAACTGTGATGTCGGTTCAATTAGAATTGGAACGTGAGAGTATCACGGATTCCTATCTCGCGATGATTGCTTCGCCAACGATTGAAGACTCGATATAAAAAGAAACTATAAGCCAAAGATCTCAGGGGAAGGTATTTCACCAAATAAATTGTACCTTCAACGGAAACAATACAAAGGAAGAGGAGGATGAGAAAAAATATTCCTCTTCATTTTGTACATCGTAAATTGCATTTAAGATGCTCATATAAGACGCTTGGCGTACAATAATTTTTCAACGAAAACATAATTTTGAGGATAAAAATTTCACGGTCCATTTACGTAAAGTTATTATTACGTTAAAATATCGCTGTAAAATAACATTAACTTTTTTTAGTATTTAACTCGTCGATCTTGATAACGTCGATTTTGATTGCTTCATAACGAAGAGATTTTTCTTTCGCAAAGCCGAGAATTAATATGCATGCGAGCTGGTCGTAACTTTTTAATTTAAGATTTTTCTTCGGTGTCCTGACAGTATTAAATCACGTTACCTGAACGTATTTGAATACTTTCTAAAGTGGCGAATATAAAGCGGCGAACGCTTTGCCTCGGGACGATTATACTGTGTCCCGTGAATTGATTAATCGTACAAAATTCGCGACGAGAAAAACCACTTTAGAATCACGTTATAATATTTTATCAATTAAGTTCAGTATACAGCGCCGATCTCTCGGCGGATTTATCAAATGTGCGGAAAAGCGGCGCACGCATTGCTTTACAAATACGTTTAAGCTCTTTTTTCGTAATCGCGAACATCGACGACGAATATTTATTGTGCAAACATGTCTACCAGATAAATTCCGACATTGTCGACGAAAATCTATCAACAAATCGATCGTAATTGTTTTTCGCGAGACGCTTTGTACTTGTTCCTGATTATAATTATAATGTTCTAGTGATGATTTTGACGTCGGTTTAATTGCCGTCATAATCGTGCGGCGGTGCGTGATGATGCATATGGATGTGTGGAGGCAGTTCGACTACGGGTACGGCCAGGTTGCTTCTCTGTAACATAGTTATAGTTACACAATGGTTGTATAATAGCTACACGAGTGTAACATCACAGTAATTGCACAGATAACACGTCTGGATGAAATTTACGGAGATCGAAATATTTTAGATAATATTGCAGTTGAGTTTTTTCTACGTAATTTTATATAATTTGTAGAATCTCAAATGACCACTCTCATTATTCAAAGTTATTTTATTGTATCATTTAAATGCAACTCAATTTTTTACAACGTTTAATCTTCGTTAATTATCTGTCGGCGATTTATGGAATTTTTACGATTTCTCGATTTAACTTCAGTAGATAATTGAATTAATTGCTTAAAGCGCTATAATTAAGATTCAATTGGATTCTGTCGATCCTTTAATCTCTTCAGTAAAACCTATATCTTGCACCACTGAATTATTCGTAAGAAAAAAATGAAGAGATAATAAATCTCGTGTCCATCCTGACGAGAAATAAATCCGCTTGCCAGATACACGTTAATTAAAGAACACTTCGATGCAATTATGAGTTTAATGAAAGTGGAGTAAAAAAGCTTACTACTGAATATAAAATATAATTGAATAACGATATGGCGAAGAGGAAGAGAGTTCTCTCTTAAATGAAATTGTGATATATATAAAATTGATTTTGGGTTAAAATTAAGGAACATATCAATTTGATGAAGAGATGATCAAAGTATCATAGAGGTTCATTTAAAATCCGATCTTATATCTAAGATTATTTTAAGTCTGATCTTAGTCTTAAGATTCGATCCAATAAATGAAATGATCGTATAGCATCTTAACATTGCAAAAGATATTTCGGATAGGTGTAATACAAATAAAGTTTGTAAAAAATGTTTGTATATATTTTACGATTAGAAAAATGAATAGTCTCATTTAATTCATGTTAATATATTGAAAAAAATAAGCATCGCTTCGGCTTGTTGATTAATGAGTGACGAGGCAGTCGTTACCTGGGACCTCATCCCGTTTACGGGAGTGGCAGTGGGATTGTCCGGCGAGTAGCCGATCACGTGCGTAGAACATTTGTCGCAAGTACGCCGTCGTCGAGACGACGCGCGGCAGCGTAAGGCGCGGCAGAGCTCGCGTGCCATCTCCGAGCAGAGCGACTCTTGCTGATTTGGTGGCTGCTGATGTTGCTGCTGGCACAGTTGTTGCTGCTGCTGTTGTTGCACAGCCTGAGAAATTCCCTGAAGAGAGCCGGAGATAGGCGTCGGAGGGACTGGAGGTCTTTGCTACGTCAGCAGCGCACAACGACGAATTATTCGCATGAATGACTCTTAATGACTTAATTATTAAAAATAAAATTCAGAAAAGGCGCATTAAAATACATCATGATGCGGGAAACATTCTAAAATTAGCGAAAAGTATCGTTTCTTTAATATTTTTTGAACTATAAACTATTGAATAGATGTAAGGTAGCCGAAGATAAATAATAATGCTATATTAATTAAACCAAATGTGAAGTGGACTTTATTTTAGTAGAATTATTATGTATTAAGGCGTAGCCTTTCAAAATGTCAAATTTTTATATTTGTAAAAAGATATTTTTTGATCTTTTTCAAATATATTTGATACAGTAAGAATTATATATATTTTTTATATATACGAGAGGCATCCTAAAAGTAAATTTTTGAGGAAAAAAAACAATTATGAGTAGCTTGTGCATTGTAGAGATGTTTCATTGGAATATGCTGGCAATATTTTTTTATTTAGTGTCACCTTTATTATAATCACAAATTAGATGAGTAAATTTGAATATAGAGACGCCAATACAAAACGTATCCGAACTACGTACGGTCATTCGATTTGACTGTAAAAAAACAAAAGTATAATAAATATTCAACGTCACTTTCAAAGAAAGATTTTTTGAAAGTCTTTTTGTTTCATGGCAATGCACGTCCTCATTCAGAAAGACGAACACAGGATTTATTGACATAACTTTGTTGAGAAGTCATCTACTATTATACTCTTCAAATTTTGTACTTAAAAAAAATGTGGGTGGTAAAAATTTTGATAGCGACGAAATTAAAGATGATGAAATCAAAGATGAAATCAAAGGCTGATGTGAAATCGCGGCTCCGATTTAAGAACTCGTTTTTCATATCACTGGTATCGAAAAATTGCTGTTATAACAAGTGCTTAAATTTCAATAGTAACTATATAGAGAAGTAACTTAAAATTCAAGTTAATAAAATAAGTAAATTTTATAATTTTTTTTCTTTTATTTTACTTTCTTACGATAAGGAAACTTACTTTTGGAATGCCCTTCTTGTATATAATACTATTATAATAAATTTATATAATATATATAATTCTAATAAATTTGTAACTTTTTGGGATATTTTATATCAAATCATACACGATAGAAAATTATCAGTGAAATTTTTTGATACACGTATATTATTTGAATGTAACTTTAGAGAACGTGGTTTATGTTGGAGCAGACAGATTCATAAGAAGTTCTCTCGATAACAGAACGGACCTTTTTTCGCAACTGTATTTGGGATACTTGCAGTTGAGCGGCATGCTTCAATGGACGATGAGCTCATGCTGATACGACGAAATCCATGATGTAGCGATGAAACAAAGTTCAGAGAATGTCATGCAACGTTTATGCACAAGGGTCACATGCACATCTTTCAAAGTTAACGGTTTTAATAGTTGATAAAAATAAAGCAACAAAAAGTAGCTTGAGAATTAAACGCACGCAATCGCGTTTGTCGGCAATTCGGATTGCAACGTCGACAAGTAGAGTCGTGCAACGTGAACGTGCTGACGATTTATTGAAATGAATTTCAGCATTGGTTTCTAGGGTCGATGCACTCACCCGTTCCGCCGGTGCATTCCTCCTGGAATTGTAGCAGAATTCGAAAATCGCTATGAGCACGGCGAACGCCAAGCCGCACAATAAGACTACGAAAACTCCTCCTAGACACAAAAACACAGGACATTGATTCTCAAGCGGATAAGACATCGATATATAATATTAAGAAAGAAAGAAATGTTTCTGCACATATGAATTAAACAAATAAATTAAAAAAGTATATAAATTACACGCTCACATAATTCGAACAATCCATCGTAGAATTTTACTGAAATAGAGATATTTAAACGTGTCAAGAACATTTATTTTATCTGTCGATCAAAGAGCGCTGTATCCTTTAAAAAAAGTTCAATAATTTTTCTTAAAAATAATAAACACGAAGATATAATAGGAAATTATTGCGACTATAAGAGGGAAATTCCGTGTTATGACTTTACTGAGGAAACTCATGATGCCGTATAATTCAGAGTTTACGCGCTATTCTCCGAGAAAGACGCTCACCTATGTTGTCGACGCCTAGAGAGTTGGCTTTATTCTCCTTTCCCTTTTCCGTCCTCATGCAAGTATCCCCGGGACTCTTCCACCATTTGTCATACAGGATCTGAATTTCGCCTTTCTCTTGCAATTCCAGAATTGCTAAAGATATCTTATCCCGCCAAGGCGAACCTGCAAAATTTTTCGGGAATCTTAAACGCTATTAAGTAGATAGTAAATTGCACAAGCAATTTACGCGATTTATTTTAACAGAATAATAATTTTAATTAATAAATTAAAATTATATTTTTTATTCGCGCGATATATTATCGAGTACAAATAACACAATTTCATTTTTATTTTATTGAAGACACAAAAATCAGAGAAAATAGCCTAAAAATTAAAATGAATTTATTTACAAATTTCAAATTAAAAAACGTTTGTTTGTTGTTAAAAAATACCAAAATCTCTTTTTCAATTATCTTTCAATAAACTATTACAAATAGAAAAATATGCAAAATTTTTTAATAAAAGTATATATTGATCAGTGTAGTAGCTTACCCATGGGTGTAGCAATTCCATATCCTTTGGTGTCTAATAGACCACCAATTTGCGTGAGATTGCAGTCCCTCTGGACAATATAATCCAGCATGGTTGACTCCATCAGAAAGGCATAATCGCCTTGAAGAACCCGTTGAATACCCTCTTCATATGTTGGAACGAATACTGACGGCTTCTTGTTTTCCATAAACCTCCACATCTTTTTGTACGTTTCGACCATTGAGTCCTTGAATCGAAATTCGAGAAGCGCAGAAAATCAAATTTTATTATCGTCATAAAATTCAATATCGTGATATCCGTCGTTGCATAAATTTCGCATATTAATTTCAAATATTGTTTTATAATTAACTGCCAACGGAAAAGTTTCTGTAAGCCAGTGTGAAAGATACGATTTGATTAAAACTCTATTCCCGCGTGAGCGGAAGCGATTATCATAATAATTGCAAAATAATTACTTTTGTATCGATTGCGCGACTGTAATGCACGCAATCATTATCTGATTATTAACAAGCTATAAATTGGACATGAACTCATGTAATCGTGGAAGTATTAATACATAGGGCTGGATTTACATACGAGTTAAACAAGCTATAGCTTTCGCGCTATTAAACAACATACCTTTTTAATATTTTTATTATATGATAATGTGAAAGGGAAATATCACAATTTGAGTTAAACTCAAATTTACAGATTGTAAACACTGTTAAAACAATGGTAATCAAAGGAACAGTGGTGATCAATCTCTTGAATTAAATAACATTTTATTATTTTTAACTTCCATGGATGGAAAAATAGTCTGGTACATTATTTTACTTAATGTAATATCCAAAATTTATACTTTGCCTACATTAAGAATATTTTCGCTCAAGCTTTTATAGTTATATTATACTTTTATATATTTAATCAATCCGGATATTTTATACAGAATTTTAGTTAAAAATAGACAAATCAGAATTTTCTGATTGATATGACCAAGATTCAATTAGAAATTGTTATCAGCATCGAAATATAAATTAATCCATTTCTATTGGTTAGTTTTAAAGTAACGTTTATATTGACATATATGTACTTAATAATAGTAAGTAATAAACTAAATTTTTGAATTCAAAAATACATCTTTCTTGAGTCAAATTATTTTACTCTATTATTTTAATCAAATTAACTATTATATTAAATTAATTATATTGAGTGACAACTTATTAGAAATGATTAAAAATAAATTGGGTATAATTTGATATAATAAATTTAACACTGCAGGAGGGACATTGCAAGATATTATAGTACTATTATTCTACCATTTATATTTCAACTGAATAATAAAATATTAATCACCCTGAAAAAAGTCATCGTGCTTCCACTATCGAGAGTTCCGTATGCGATGTCCGTCTGACTGGCGAGATCTTCGGCGTTCTCTATAGGCGTGATCATTCTTTCTACTGTAAGGAAAGCCGCTAAATTCGCGGTGTATGACGAGATGATGATCAAGGTGAAGAACCACCATATGCCACCCACGATACGTGTGCTCGTAGCCTGATAAAATCATATTATCAAGATTCACCGCTTCGATTCAACAATTAAGCTTTATAATTTATTGCTATTAACTTCGTATTAATTTTACTGCTGAACGATGATATGTGTATCGTAACATTGATTGATAAGCGATTTCAATTGCCAATATTAGAATACTGCGATATCGTCTTATAGTTTGATAGCAGAACTGCATAATAATACTTTCAAATTGTAAAAACATTAATTCCTCATTATGCTGAAAATATATTAAGACTTTTTTTCATTTTTTTACGTTTTTTATTATAGCTTTTAGGCATTCCAAGAATTAACACGTTTCATTTTGAATAGGAAATTTTTAGTATTTGAAAAGTAATTCAAAAGCTAAAGTCTGCAAATGAAAGCTGAAAATTTCTCGAATAGGAATGTTCGCGTTGCTTGTTGAGAAAATTACGAAGCATTATCGTGAAAGTGTCTGAAAATAGGATATTTCATACAGATAATTACTTTAAATAAAGACAACGCGCGTAATTAGAATAGAAATTTAATTAAATAATAATTATCAATGGAAATACTTACAACATTTATAATATTCATAAAAAGATCTGACGTTTAAAACAAGGATCTATTATTACGAGAGTTAAGTCACGAATTCGTATGTCTATTATTATATATGTAGATAAAAGCGGTATAGCAAGATCAATGAATCTGTTTATAAAGCTAATTATGTAAAATTAACATGTTACATAATGTAACAACCTCATAATTTACATACATCACAAAAAGATCTGTTTCGCGTAATGTATGCTTTTAATTGATGCATAATATAATATTAAAACAGGAACATGTCAAACACAAACCTTGGGATTTAAATCGCTACCCTGTTGCATGAGAGTTCCAATGGTGAACCAGAAGCTATTTGATAGGGAGAACTGATTCTCGACGATTTCCGTCCCGGGATGACATGGATGGGGATTATTCCATTCGTAGGGACTAAATCGCGCCACGACGAACATCGTCACTGACACTAAAACGTACGCTGCCAGAACGTACAGCCAGATCTCAATCGCTAACGGATTCATAAAGGAAAAAAGCCGCGCCTGGTGACTGGTCGGTACCTGCAAGCAATTTGAACTTTTGACATCTTGCTGCTTTTCATACGATAAAATTCTATCTAAAATATATTAAAGAAAAATGAATTCTTTTATGCAGTCGCACACGCGGAACATTATTCTGTTTTTACTTTGCTTTATTTAATGACATTGTTATCTAAGTTAACCGTTAAAATTATACGATAATATTAATGATTAAGTAATTAAAATATAATAGAATTTATCGTCGGAAATTTTCTGCTTAGTTTGTTTTACTATGTATTCGGTATTTTATTTTAACGATCAGATGCACTTTACTTATTATTGTACCTATAAAGGAGAGAAAGAGAATATATATGAAATATGTATTAACATTAAGCTTAATTAATTTTGCGTAATATCGGAGCGATATGTGTAATGATGAAGAAATTTTGCGCGAATATTTTAACAATTCTTAATTAGCAATCTTAAATAGTATTAAACGTAATATCGTGAAATCGATTATTTTACTTAATGTAATATCCAAAATTTACACTTTGCCTACATTAAGAATATTATCCAATTTTCGCTTAAGCTTTTATAGTTATATTATACTTTTATATTTAATTAATCCGGATATATTTTACACAATGTGCACTTTACAGACTACCGATTATTACTACCAATAATATAGGAAAAATTTTTCATAATAATGCACTACATATTGGATATTTATATATAATTAAGTCGAATTTGTTAAATTTAATATATTGTAAATATTGGAAATTAAAAAAAAAAGGAAATACGCGAAAATATATATGTAATATTGCAGAATACATCAACAAAAATACGGTCAAATTTATAGTCAATTGAAGTAGTAAACTATCAGTATATTTGTATGTTGAAATCGATTTCTTCGATTTTTTCACAACACATCGGTAGTTAAATGCTTGGCATCAAATCCTTCATTTTGTACAGCTCTGCGCGAGTGGAATTGGTTGATGTAAAATTTAACGTTGCTCTCTATAGCAGATGTTGATTCCGAGGATGTAAAAAAAAATAATGTAGCAAAAAGCACAGTCATTGTTACTATTTACGACAAAAAGAAATAATAAAAGACCATTATAAAAAAAAGTATGCTTATGTAGTATACATAATTCAAGAATGTATAATTTAAGTCGTAAATATCGAGTGTGGAATCTAGATGGATAAGTGATGGGATGATAAAGGATATACAGGGTGGGGAAAAAGTATGGAAGCAAACAATTATTTCCGAAACTATTCATTTTTCGACAAAATGTCTTAGACATAATTTTTATGGTATGAAAAGATGTATTATGTGGCATAGACGGCATGACCTTGAAATGACCCTTACGAGCTGCATACAAATAACGTAATTGTTTCTTACATACAAATAACAATTGTTTCTTAACTGGGAGTGTTTTTAAGGGAATGGGGCTCATATGCAGTGTTTTGTAAACGTTTCGACATCAGCTACACGAATCTGTAACAAAAACTGACGAGTTCCATTTGAAATTTTTTACGTTATTTGTATGCAGCTCGTAAGGGTCATTTCAAGGTCATGCCGTCTATGCCACATAATACATCTTTTCATACCATAAAAATTATGTCTAAGACATTTTGTCGAAAAATGAATAGTTTCGGAAATAATTGTTTGCTTCCATACTTTTTCCCCACCCTGTATATCTTTGGAAATAGGAATAGTTACCAAGATTAATTGCAATTAAACGATCGCCTTACATTAATTAGAAAGCGCGATCGCGATCGACGTCAATTGGTGTAGCGAAAAGAGAACGTGCCTTTTGTATTCGCCGGTAGAAAATCCCATTTGGGCAGAAATGAATTTTCAATCCGCATTAAAAGCTAAGCTATCATCGTCAACGCGGCGAGAAAGCTTTCATCGTATTAATTAATTTATAAGATAAGAGGTCCACTTATCGAGTTTTTCGTGCCTCGCCATTATGGTGAAAACGGAACTGTTTCAAGCAATTAATTTATCATCTTATCGTACAGTACGATCAATTTTAACTGATATTCATATCGATTATTTAACAGAAATATTTAAGTAGAGAGCTTCCAAGGATTCTGTCAAGTGTAATACGCAGTCTATAATTAATCTTGCAGTGAATCGCGATGAAAGATCACCACATCACTGCCACTTGACTGCGTAACGGTGACTTGCTTAATTATCTTCATTAAGCAGTTGGCTTGTGCCATCGGGAACTAAGACGAACAATTACATTCAAAGTTTGAACGTTGGAAAATTCCAAAACGACATAATACAATTGACAACTGTATTTATTATTATTATTACTCGCGTTAGTTTAAAAATATATAAAACTGAAAGAGTTCATGTAGAAAAAAAATATACAAATACATATTAGTAATATTTGGACAGAAATTTAGAAAGATTTCTTTCTAAGTGTAGTAGTATTAATGAGAGTTGGTAAATGTTCACTAATCCTCACAGGTAACCGCGTAAACATAGTCTGTAATGACTATCTTTTTATATATATATATATATATATATATATATATATATATCAGAAACTATTATACATATATTGCTTAAAATACAAATTTAAAAAACCAAATAACTTTTTTATGTAATTTTTCGAAAATTATCTTGCTATAATTATCATCTTGCTTTGAATCACGAATTTTGGGACACCCCCAATGTATGTCCCGAAAATGTCTGATTAAAGATAATTTTCAAATGTTTTTCAGAAAGTCTTGAAAATATTTTTAAAGTGTCTACCAATAATATTTTAACTTGACGCTTTATAAAAATGACAGAAATATTTTAGACGTGTATGTTGAATGGCAAACGTTTATTCATTTTACGCAGTTTATCTTAAATAATATCTATTAGAAAATTGGTAAAAAATGACACATACACTTTAGAAACTTCTGAGAAAAAAATTCAAAGTAACATTAATAAAGTTTATCGAGTTTTTATTAGAAAGAAAGGATGATTAACTTTATTGATTTTTCATAGAGAAGTTATGTTACTTCTATCATTTATCGATTGCTCTAATGACATTTTAAAGTGCTGACTCTTTTACTTTATTATTGTTACAGCAGTCTGATTAGATAACAAGACTATAATTCAATATATATATAGATATATCATAGAATAAAACTGTAGTAGGTCGAATAAAACAGGAATAAAAAAGAGAAAAAATGAACAGTACCGAAGATCGGAAATGGCCGTTCCGTAAATTTCGTCGGACCAAACGTCCGATTGGGTTTTCCACAGAAAATCGAGAAATCAGAGATGAACGAAGGGAGCGACACAGCGATCTCGTCGTCAATCGTATCGTCGTCGCGAAAATTTTATTACAAAAACTCGAGAAATTAACTTCTCGGTATCGTTACGTCGCTCCTTGCGCAAATGCCATTATTAACTTTGGAGTAAGCGAATCCCACCACTGCTCGTTACGGTATAAAGTGCAGCTGGCGGAGAGAGAAGTTAACTCCAGCATCTCGAATTATTTAGCGCGAGTCGAAACTTGAGGAGATTCCGGTACTGCTGGTCGAATCGATCGAATGAAATCCACGAATCGGGAGAAACTCTCGGCACGAGACATTGTGGGAATAATTAAAGCTCACGAATAATAATGGAATCGAAGAGACAATAGGAATAGATATATAGAAGAGAAATATAGACAGAAAAAAAGGAAGAAGAAAAAGATAGCAGAGAGGAGGTGGAGAAGGGAGATTAAAATGATGAAGAACCAGCTCGTCGAACGAGTTTCGAATTAATTGGCTCTAATTCGACACGTCAGCCGATCGATGACATTGTACATTCCGATTATTAAACCATTTGCGTGCCATCACTTGCGAGCTGTTCTAATTAGTCTGCATCCCCCTTCCGCGTCCTCGCAACACATGCTGCACTGTATTATAAGCGAGAACATACATACATGTGCATGTTGGTACATGCAAGTGCATCATCAAGCAGCGCGATATTACAGTCATAGCACGATCTTGTAACCGAGTCGTATTAATGAAGATTAAATTTCACACATGAAACCATTTTTTTTTCGTATTATCTGTCGCATTTTCAAGCCTTTTTTTCGAGTTTTTTGTCACTTTATAATTATGCAAAGAGTTATTTGTACATATTATGTATAAACTCCCGATGAAAATCTTTTACAGAGTTTTTTTGATATTTAATAAAACGTAACGCTCTAGATTTTTTTTTTTATAAATATGTATTACATTAATGATTCAATAAACACAAAATGTGGCAAAATTCTTTCATTACCCTGTAATTATTCAAAAAATTATTTGTATGTATCGTGTATAAACGAAAGTAAATGATATGCATCTGATTTCCATTTAGAGACCATTTAGAACGCAATGTTCGATTAGGTTGAACCCAACCACTACAACCAATTACGACTACATATAATAGTTGATAATAATCTCTCATACGCAAATGGTATTTACACCCAATTATTAATTGGCTATTTTAGCAAAATGTGGAGGCATTATACAAACGTAACCGTTAGCGATAATCAGTTTACGGGCAAGTAGATAAGAACTAGTTATGGTCAGCCAGCACCAAAACCAGACCGAATTACCGTCGTACGGATGGCATTAACTTAGATAAAACATCTCGGTTAAAATTACCTCGCTCGCGCTTTTATCAACTTTTTATGCGCAATTAAAAAAAGAAAAACATGAAAATATCGACAGAGATATGATTCGGCGATGCAAAATTTTCATCGACATAACTTTGATTCTTGGGTGTAGGCACGTTCGTGTTGGCTGCCAAATAAAAATAGTCTAACAACAACAGATGGAGTATACGACGGCAAAAAACGGCAAATAAGAATAACAGATGCGCTGCGCGCAAAAATACACGAGGGATGAGAAAGACCAACAAAGCGCTGGATGCCGGAACCGCCACGGCAACAATGCGGCGGGACGTGGACGAAATAAAAATATGGGCTATCAGAATAACGCCATTTCGCGCGTGAACCGGGAGATTAGGGGGGAGGCTTATACAAGATAGCTTTAAATGCCCCGGACCAGCTGAATACAATTGCTACTTTGTAATGTGATAAATTCTCGCGGTTTTGCACATCGAAATTACTGTCCGGCGAAACCAACTACATATATACTTACTTTGAACAGGATCGAGATACCCAAATTCATGAACGGCTTTGTGAAATCGATCACCCTCTCGCGTGCATAGTTGATTGTCATCGAGCCGACAGCGAGATCAGCCCTCTGAGAAATGAGAGAAGATAATTAAAAAGATATATATATTAAAGGGCGAAGACACAAATTCAAGAAATTTAGAGTAGATGTTTGCAGACATGTCCAAAATCAAAAGATGTGTTTAAGACGTCATTAAAACGTCTTTTAGACATTTTATCGTAAGATGTCTTAAAGATGTCTTTTGATCCTTCTACAATAAATTAGTAATAAATCAGAAGCCAGAAGCAAGTTGTAAGCGAGTCATTAATATGACATAATGATAAATTCCATTTCTTACGATTTGAAACTTAGATTACATTACCAATAATTCATTGTTTGTCCTATCACTCTTTTGATATATTTTGACATAACAGTCTAATATAATTTATTATTCTAGATGTAAATTTCATAAGATTTTTGTATGACTTATACGGATGCTTTCCATTAGATGTCGTTCTTATCTTTGTTATTCCAGTGAATGTCAAGAAAGATGGAATAATACCTGTATCGACTTGTATCACTAAACGAAGAACACCCTCTTCTGACTTACCACTAGTATGTTATGATTGATACGAGCGATTACTGACGGCTTATTATAGAATGCCCATTTAAGTCGTATTTAAGACGTCTATGTCTTGATTTTGGACATGTGTGCTTTCCAGGTTAATTCTAATTTATTTCCGTCATCGAGATATGCAGACTCGATAGCGCTGCTTTTAAAGACAAGCTGCTCTTGAATTATCCACTTGGTCGCGTTCGACAGGTGCTCGAGATTATTTAGACACGCGCGACAATGGAATAGCTGACTCGGCAGTAGTCGACGAGGAAAACGCTGTCCTCGATTCAATGAAGCCACCTCGAAGAAAGAGCTCAATGTGCGTACTTTTGCCGCGATATCTAACTGCTTCTTCAGCGTCTGCGAGAATACTCGCTGGCGTGCGCGCGGTGGCGCACCACCGGGAGGCGGCAGTCTGCAGAGATTTATTTCCGGCTTGCGCTGCACACAGAAAGCGTGGATATCTGGATGGAAATACGCCCGATAGGGAAATCCCCTGTCTTTCCTTCCTGCACGTGCTCCGCGCTCTGTTTCTATGTGCGATGTTACAAATTTTCTATAAGCGTCCTGTACGCAAACCTGTACGTTACACGAGAATTCTGTTGCGCGACATGGGCGAAACATGATTCATGCACTTGTCAATTTTTTATATTCGCAATGATTTACGTGGCAAGATAATACGTAATATCTATTTTACGTCTCATATATTTATTCCGGAAAGTTAGGAGATTGGATTTCAATTATAGTAGATTTCAATAGAATGATGTGTACTAAATGAAAAAAAGATTTGGCATCACCCTTTTTCCTGATTAAAATATTCTGATTAAAAAAAAGTATTTTAATAGATTTCTTTTAAGCAGTGTAATATTCTCTAAATGTTCATATCTCTTTCTTTTTTCTCTCTTTATTTTTTCTGTATCTTTATCTTCACTATTATTTTATTTGATTGTTTCTGAATGTAATTATTATGTTGTAACTACATGTATAACGTCTCAGCGCTTAAAAGATATCTTAAAATATTCAATTAATAATGATATTTATATCTGTTTATCCATTTCTTTCTCTCTCTCGTATTTTACTAATTTTCTGAATTTTCTTTTGTATTCTGTATTTATAGTGAATACATTAATTAAGTAAGAGAATCGCCAATTACGGTCAAAGTTAGATGTCAGAATAGTATATCTATATTATGTATATGATACATCTGTATTTTTAAATAAATTTATCTCAGATATATGACCGCGAACTCATTACTTACGGACTTATAACACAATCAAATTAAAATGATAATCCTCCCAAATTGAAAAGTAATCGGCGCGCAGTCATACATCCGAAATAAATTTATTTAAAAACACATAAATATATTTTTCCAACACATCTAACTTTGATCGTATATAAATGGCGTTTCTACTTAATTGATGTATTTATACAATCCTATTTTAACCCTTACCGTACTAATATGGGTAACTAGTGACCAAGCGATTCCTGTTCGTGCAAGTTTCTTTGAGTCTTTCGGTAATTATAAATTATACTACATTTTATTTATTTTCCAAAATAAAGAGTCAATATTTATTCTAGAAAGTATGTTGGTGAATTTTTAGAGATTTTTTAAATTATTTTGAAGAGGTGAAAAAACAAAGAGATTTGAAGTGACCCTTGATGGTATGGATGAGGCACCAAATTGTACATAGATGGTACGATAAGGGTTAATTTTAATAATAGTAAGTAAATAATTTTGTGATTGGATTATGAATGAAGAGCTATCATTATTGATTCCAACAAAATGTGACATATATAATAATTACAATTTCACTTTTATCCTTTCACGCAAAAACTCAATACTTTATTCTGTACGTATTACTGTGTATTACGGCTGTCGATAGTTAAACCGTGAATGGGAATGGCGATACATCTCACGTACAATGGACAGCCGAAATGGTCGACATCGACGTCGCATAAAACGAGATACCGGTTCATCCCGTGAAAGATATTTCGGATTGGCGGCGTCACTAATTCGCGCGTGATTTACGTTACGCCCCGTGCGACCCATGGATGACGGTCGCAATAATTTGTTGTTGCGTGTTCTCGCGCGATGACAGCATGGCGCCATTGCGGACCCGCGATGCATCGTGCCGTCAATCGTTTATGAATGTACGAGCGATGCAGTGTATGTACAACGCATCAAACGTGTCGAAGAGAAACATGAATGTGAGAAGCTGGTTAAAGCTGCAAGCAGAGATAATGTACCGGAAAAAGGGCGATATCAATTTACATAGAATTACCGAGAGACACGAGAGTGTCGGATATTAATATGCATCTGCAATGTGTTGTATATATATCTATCTCATTTATTTAATTTAATACTTCTGTTGAAAATCACTTTTGCCGATTAATAATTTCGATGACGGCAGTGATATATTGCCAGCGAGCTTCGTTTTTCATTTCATTCATTCATTTTTGAGTCGTGTTACCTTTTCCCGTGCAGCCGACAAACGATATCCCATTTATCAACTGTGTTCAGATAAAAATGAAACATCAATATATCATTCTTTTCAAGGAAATTCACGCGACGGAAATTAATATCTCGTGTAACATTTTACATATTTTGCGTATCAACGAATACCTACTCCAAAACTTGTTGCGTTAAATTACAAATTAGCATGATACACAAAAATTTTGTTGTAAAATAATATTTCTATTAAGAGAAGGGTTTTTCCTATTATATATATTATATTATATTTTTAAAATAATACCACTCACACTCTTTCTTTGAAACGCAAAAGAATCTGGGTAAGAGAAAATATTGCGTAACATTGTTAGATATTAAAGGAATAATGGTAATCCAATCCCTTGAATTAAATAATATTTTATTTATTATTTGTAACTTTTGTTATTTTTAATTTCCATGTAAACCAATCCATTTCTGTGGTTAGTTTCAAAGTAAACAACATCTATATTCATGTATGCGCTTACTCGCTTAATAAATAATAAATTTTTAAATAACTGAAATTAGGTCTAATTTGATATTATGAATTTAATAATGTGAAAGAATTCTTGTTTATGTTACGTTAATTAAAGCATCGCTTTTACATTAATTAAACATGGTTCTAATCATCGATTAAAATTCTTGGCTGCGTCGGATGTCTCGAATAGGATAGGGGTAATCTGCTTAATTACTTATATACATAAGTCGCTAAAATACGATACCGCTTCTAGGCATATTACGTGCACTTTTTTATCATCATTTTTCCGTCCTCGGTTTCGCCATTGCGCTCTCGGGCTCGCGACGACTGCGGCGAAGCGAGTATTATTAATGATCATCTGACAAAATTAATACTGCCGTCCGGATAACATAGCGCCGGTCGCTGTGTAACATCCACCGGTCTGCGAATCCCGACGAAAATGAGAAATTTCACGGACTCTCATATCGCGATTCTCCATAATTCCATGAATTCCAGCTCATATGTGGCATCATCGTATCGTTGATCGCTATGTTTCATGCATTCGGAATCCCGAGATATTAAACCATTCATAACTGTAATTTTCCTGAAATCAAAACGTAATTATTCAGTCTGCGTAATCGATACCTTAGTCCTTGAGCCCAGCACTCTCTTAATTTAGCTTACGAATATTATTTCGTTTAATTAAACGGTCATTATGAACATTTCGATTTAAGCACCGCGTATCTTGTTATTCGTTTGATAAAGCCACGAACTTTTCTCGTCGCGATTACATTAATATAGCGTGGAATTAATTATTTCTATACAGACGCTCAGTTTCTGGTAAACGCACATATACGCAGGATTTATACATTATTCATCGTGATAAAAGTGCGCCCTTGTGTTCCGCAGCAACCGGACACTGAATCCAATCCAGAACTTCGGAATTTATGGCGAAAGTAGTTCTCTGGTATGTAGATATCGCTGCTAGAATACTCGGCTCATTACATCCTACTTTAGTTTTCTCAAAAACGAGTGCGTCTTTAAGAAATGTATGCGTTCCATAAAAAAGGACACAAGTGGGTTTTTCTTAATTCATCCCCCTCGAAAGAAATTGTAAAATCTTTATAAAATACAAAGATCAATTTATATATATTGCACCGAGTTTACCAAGAGATTTACACTAGTTTTAATTTCAATAAAACTTCACTGTATTGGAAATAAAGTCTTTTCTTATGTCTCAAAAACAGCACTTGATGGAAATATTTCGATGGCAGATTTGGACTCAGCATCGAAAATTATCCAGAAACAGTCTTCATATGTTCTTGTAAAATCATGTAAACTAGTGTTATCAATTGTATCTCGTTTAAAGGGAGAATACTTTCTTATTAACAAAAATCTTAGAACAACTACAAATATACGAAAAAGAACGTTCAAATTCTACGCTCAAATTCTCTACTGGTGCAAATAATACATTAGGCTATTGTGATCACTGCAATATAATGCTGTTATATATGTGTATATACACGATGACCCATTTTAATTGACGGATCCAAATATCTCCTAAAATACGCCAACTATAAAAAAATGATTGGGACAAAAATTGTCGAGGACAATGAAGGTCATCTGTGCTAATAATTTTGACCTTCAGGTCGATTTTCAAGGTTATTTGAAGGTTAAGGTCATTTTAAAAAATGGAAACCCCTATTTTTGACACCGGATTCGAAAAGAGCGGGAAATTTTACGTTTAAAATGATATTTTAGAATTTGTTATTGTGAGTTTAAGAAGGTCAAATCAAGGTTAAATGATTAAAAAGCACTTAGAAGCTGTTAATTTAGATTTATAAGCTTTTTATGCATGATAAGTGTTTGGCGGTACTTCAAATAGTAGAAAAGCTGTGAAAAATTCAAAGACCTTGTCTTTACTTTTAGCGTTACCCGGAAATAACGACGTGGACGTAGTAAGTTCTGTTTCCTTCGGGGTGCTTGATTATCGTGAGTCCCCTTGCCTCTCAAAACAAATTCTAAAATATCATTTCAAACGTAAAATTTCCCGCTCGTTTCGAATCCGGTGTCAAAAATAGGGGTCTCCATTTAAAAAAATGACCTTCAAATAACCTTGAGAATCGACCTGGAGGTCAAAATTATTAGCACAGATAAATGACCCTCATTGTCCTCGACAATTTTTGTCCCAACCATTTCTTTGTAGCTGACGTATTTTAGGAGATATTTGGATCCGTCGAATAAATTGGGTCATCATGTATATGGTGACACACTACACGTGGGTTTAACTCCAGCTCCGACACAAGGATTACCTGTAACTCTTTTACACAGCGTTATCTTTGCACGGTGCCTGTCAGCACGAGGAATTGTGTGTACAATTGACATTGTTATCACGGCGTCGTGCATAGTTGCCGTTGCATCTGCTACAACCGTCAGCGAGATATTGAAATTCGGTAGAATTGCGGAACGGAATTGCGCGCGTATGCGGCACTTAATCAATCGTCTGTGCGCGCGCGATGTATAATTCGCCTTCCTCTGAAATGTAGACATAGTCGGCGGGCGACGACGCGGCAATACGCGGGCTAGTTTCACGCTTTCCTGGTAGAGACGCGGTGTCGCCCGTATATATACGAGCTCTCATCTCGCATCTGTTCGTGATTTGAATTGCAAAAGCGAGCACCCAAAGTGTCTAAGCCTATGCGTTTAACGCAAGCGAAGTGCACGGCGGCGATTCGCTCGGGCCTATCGCTAGCAAAATGGCATGGCTTCCTCTATCATCGCGGCATATCACGCCGTGTCGTTCGTAGGTAATCCTGCGTGTGCGGCCATCAATTTGCATGATTAATGCGCGCTCATATACACGTGGGGAGATGCGAACGGGAGAACCTTTGACCTAAACCGTAATCGGTGCGATAATTCATACGATAAAAGGAGAATTGTACGTAAAGGAGGATGTTACGTTTTGATTACTTCCGGCATTGAGAGACAAATTTTTGATAATTGTAATTATAATTATATATATTACTATAATTATTGCTGCTGTTATGTTAATAATGATAACTGTATATATCATTTTATTAAAAATATGGTTGGTCAAATATATATAACTATGAAATTATAGTCACTTTAACCATTTTTATGGTAATTTCAACTATAATTATAGTCATTTTAGGTTGCCAACTATATACATTTGTTGCTAGAACTATATACATAGTTACTGTTACTATTATTATAGTTGTAATAATCATAATTATAGTGATATGTAATTATAGTTACAAATATTAAACATTTTTCTCTCAGTGTATAAAGATATATTTATTTGATACAAGAAATATTACAATCATTATTTTTACTAAACAAATATTTATTTACTGTAAGTAAATATTTAGTTGGCAGTATTGAACTAAATATTTATTAAAATTGACTATATTTTTTTCTCAGTGTAAGATTTTAATATTATGTATAATTTGTATATCTCGGAACTTTTATTTTTGCTAAAAAAACAGCCAAAATTCAACATCCTCGTTTTACGTAGTATATTTCTATAGGATTTCTTGGGATTGGCAGGTTAATGCTTGTACGAGAGACGTTACCCATATCGCCCAAGAATCACATTTCCTCTTAAACGCCGATACTTGGTCCCTATCTCTGTTGAAATTCGCTTAACTACCCTTTGTTACGTCTATCACTGACTATCAAACTGTCTCACGACACTGAGAATCAACAACCTCCAGTATAGTAGATCGTACAATATAACACTTCCGTAACATATAAATTATACCGTCGTATAATGTACGCGTCAGCATCCTCTCCCTCTCAAAGTTCCTTTATCTCGTAACTACAAGAATTTTTCGTGAATGTGTTAACAATAAATAAGATACTCGGAAGAGATTTACATACAAAATACATGGAGCATTTTAGTTATTTCAAAGAAGAAAAGTCGAAAATTATTTCTGACAATTGCCATAGTTCATATAAGCGGACGGTTCAATTTCCTTTGGTTCCAGTAGGCTGTACATCTCTGAGATAATTCGAGTGGAACTGCAGCAGCAATGCACACGGACGCGTATCGCACACACTCACCTTATCCATCAGCTGGCGAACTATCCCGTTCCACTCGCCGGTCTCGTAATCGTAAACGCCATACTTGCCATCCGGCACGAGTTCAATCCTGTAGGTGAAGCCCACCATGAGCGCTATCTCCTTCAGCAAGTCGATGCAGAAGCCTTCGTAACGCATGTTTCCGCTGAAATTCCCCTCGCTCTTCAGCATTACATACGGCTGCTCCTATGGGGATCATAAAAAGGAGCTACCATTTTTCGCTTCGTCTCCCTTTGCTATAGGATTTCGCCTACGATTCTTTTCTCTCTATCTTTCCTATCTTTACGTTACTCTCCGGTCGCCAGTTCTCCCGCCCATTTTGTTATCCTGCAGCTTTTTCACAAAATGCTACTACCCACGCCAGAACTATCGATATGGTCGACAACAATGTTACGCGAAACGATAAAGCGTTCACGTGTTTGCGTCATGGGAATTTTATACGGGCTGGATGTAAATCTTCTGGGTAAGGGTCGGTAGAAATCAAGTTTCACAACTTCAGTCTCGTTTCGAGAGGATTAGGGAAATTTTGATGCGTCGCTTTGGCTCTTTCGTCGAAGAATACGCATTACAGATTTAATTAATGAATAATAGATGAACGCATTTTCTTATAATCGTGTTATAAAATTAGACTAATAAATGAGACTGATAAACTCATTTACTTAAGTGACGTGAATGGTAAATTAAATGAATGAAAAATATTTTATATTGTAAGAATATATACAATCTTACAAAAAAAAGTTTGATTACAAAGTTTTGTGAGTATCAAATCAAATTAGGGGAGACCGGAGTTCGGTGGCACAGTTTTCGCAATTTCGGCATTAAACTTTAAACAACTAATTAATATAATAATATGATAAAGAATCTTTTTCTACATTTTTATGCCAGGAAATACGATTCTGTACACTATATATTTTCTTTGTAGTAAATAAAATACGAACATGCTGCATTGTAATTAGTTTTCGATAATAAAGTAAATTAATACACGTTACGGTATAAATTATCTTTATGACAGACTCAATAACTTTTCCATTGTTTCTTTCGCTTTGAATATATAAACAGAACGCAATGCCAACTTGTGCCAATAAACCACGGTAACTCCTATATTTACAGAAAAACAAACTCTGGAGTATTAGTTACATCCTATTAAATACTAACAAAATATAATTAATATTCAAAATAGCCACCTTTAGCTTTGAGATGCTTCGGAAAAACATCAACTATGAAACTGCGCCTCTTTTTACGGATAAATCCTTTCAGGCAGCCAATAAAGCAGCTTTTAGTTTACCATCAATGAACATTTTTTGGTACAGAGTCTTTAAGGTATTTAATAAGATGTAACTAACACTCTGTAGTTTATCTTTTTTAAAAAATTGTTACTACCCAGAGAGCAAGCTGAAGTTATTTGCTATCATTTTGATTTGACAAGCACATAAAACATTGTGGCCAAACTTTCTGATCTCGTATATGTATAAAAATATGCACAAATATTTAAAGTGCATAAATATTCTGTAAGTTACATCGCAAACGTGATGCAGCGAAGTGCATTACATCGACTAAAAATTATCCATGCTTTTTCGCCCCAACTCTAAAATAACATTTAAAAATTTCGCATAAAAGTTTACGGCCATTATATAAACGAAGATTATGTATAAACGAGGATATCTCGTGTGATAGCGAATCGTGCATGTATCTGTAACGGTGTGGACAGCTTTAATTGGTATTTACGATGACATACCGGGCATGGCGAATGCACTTGTCCCGACGTGGACATTCGATGGTTCTCTCGATGCTGATTACCAGCTAAATGGATTACTCTTCGATAGACTATTACGTTGAACACTCCCACGAGATGTGCTCTGCAAGCGTAACTACACGTCGTAGGCCTCGGAGACTCAGGTGCGAGAAGGCCGATTAACGTGCGTGATGTTACACCAACTAGACGATAGCTTGTCAAATAAATCTCATGAATAATGCTAGATCGTTATTTTACTAGTAAATAACGTTCAAGATAAACGTGTCATTTGTATAATTTGCTAATCATATTAAACGCGTCGTCCGATCGTAAAAAAATTTAGTAATCCATATCTAATTTTTGATTAACAGATTTCTTTACTTCTATCATAGTTAATTTTACACAATAATTTAATAGTGAATAACTTTTCTTGTATCTCGTACATGATAAAAAAGTTTACGACACCCAGCATCGCCATTAAAAAATAAGAAACAAAAATTTTTTTTATCAAGTTCGAGACGTGTAGATTCTCGCATGCAGAAACGGTGAATTAAATCACGTGATAAAACGTTGATACGAATAATCGATCGAGTTAAAAGTAACGCCGGTGAACAATGCAGGAAAACGAGAACGAGAAAAATTATCCGAAGAATTCCGATAATTGCAAGCGTACGGAAGAGACGAACGTGCAACGAGCGAGAACTTTCGTTCCACCGGACAAATATTATCTTCACCACGAACGAGTGAAAATATAGACAAAAAGATGCTCTCCTCTAGATGTGAGCGTTATCACACGGTCGTCGTATATTCAGACGTGGAGAGTTGGAGGTCTAGTACGCGGGGTCTAGATTTAAATTTAAATTCAAATCGGCTTCTTGAAATGCAATAAAGTAGCTTCACTTCATGAAGCTTTCCGCCATTTTAGATGAAAACGGGGCCGGTGACTGCCGCACGGCGGAAACGCGAGAGATTTAATTAGAGGGTATGTCGAGTAGATTTGATATTTACGAGCCGCATATGAGAATTTCGACCGGATTAACTGCATACTGCAGCCTATATAGAGAATGCATTTGGCACGCATTAATTAAGCCGTGTTGAAAAGCGGCGTTGAAAAAAAAAAGAAAAACGGAAAAAGGGAGCCTGCTAATCCGTTGAGATTCAACATTTATATACAACACATTTTATAATGTTTTAAGCTGGTAATATTTTTATCCTTGTTATTTAATATTATTATTTTTATGATAGAGGATTCAAAGAAAAAAAAATGAAAGAGACGAGAATATACGTGTTTCATTTTGTGTGCATTGTATGTGTATGCATGCTGTTTGAGGTTTTACATTCGTTTGTAAAAAAATTGTCATGCATATGTACGTATACATATGCATGGAAAGAGCTTGAAAAAAAATTCAAACATAAGATTTAATCCAAATAAGCTGCGCGAATGCGCGCACGTAAATAAAGATGAAAAATTAGCATTGCGAAGTTAGGGGTAAAAGTCTTAGTGGGAGAAATTATTTTTTACTGGATGAATTGTACAGCAAATATTTACTATAGATTTTAACGTAAAGAATATATCGCGTGACATGGAAAAATCTGCACTTGACTTATCATATGCGTAGATTAAGAGGAGACGGATTAAACGGTCAGCGCATTTATGAATAATCACTTAATATGGCACATTCTCGTGAGAGTGTTAAAGTCCGTATGCAATCTAGAAGACAGAAATGAGATATAAAATTAATTTAAGCCAACTTAATGGAGGCTGTAAGGCCACTTTTAACTCTTCTTTGAATAATGCATGAGTCTTTTGAATAGAGCGAAAAAGTACGTGAAGCGAAAAGTCGTAAGAGCGTAAAAGATTTAAAGAGAAAAGGCAAATTTTAACGCGACCGCAGATACAAAGCGACACACGCAAATATCGACGAAATATGTAATTATTAAAGATTTCAGATGTAGTTAGAAAAGAAAATTTTCGAATTTATAAGAAATATAATTGATCAAAGTAAGTAAGAAATTCATAAATCTTTCCACGATTGTATGTTGCTTTAGTAAGTACGTAAAAGAAAACTGCTCTCCTACATATATATATGACGTACATACAGTTCCATTAAATTTGTATATTGTGTTTTAATAAATTTAATATTATATTTTAATAAATGCCAAATTTCATCGTGATATTACAGAATTTATGAAATACTGTTAATTCGTACGAGAAGTACATTTTCTTCCCATTTATTTTCGTATATAACTGATATTCATCATAAATAAACTATACATTTCACATTCTATCTTCTACTTTTAATTAAGAAAAAAACTGCGGTATATAAGAAACATTGGTTGTATGTTAATTTTTATATCTTAATAAAGAGAGTTTTTGCAATTTTTAATTATAGAAAATTCTAAATTATCATGTGATATGTAGGTATCATATTTAATATCGATAAACTCGAGTCGTAAATTAAGTGTATAGTTTTAAGATTAAATAAAAATAAAATAAAGGAAAAATGAGCCAATAAAAACCGATGCGGATATCGGTGTGCAATAATAACAATATATTTAATCAATTATTACTCGTAGTAAATTAAATAAAAACGCATATATTTCGACTCTAATTTTGGAGTTCTTTTCAGTGTACATAAGATATATTTAAACGACAGAAAATATAGGTTAAAATAAAATTGCAATAAATAATAAAGCATCGAAATACAAAGCAATAGCCACTGTGAAATATTAAATAAAGCTAGAGTTTGGTTACACAGTTCTATTTTTTGAAACAACTTTTAATTTAACATAGACATGTAATTTCCATTTTATTTAATCTGTGACTGTTGTTTCGCACTTTGATACTTCATTGTTTATTTTAATTTCATTTACGACACGTGTTGAAGCAAAACGTTTTTATTTATGTAATTTACTATATAACTGACTAAATATATTGTATTATTGCACATTTACTTTCGCGTTGGCTCTTATTGACTTACCCTTCATTTCATTTTGATATTTAATATCGTTTGGCATCAAAAAATCAATACGGCGTCGTCTCCCTCGTCTAAATAAATTTTATACTTTAAAGGAGAAATTTATATTCAAGTTATACGAGTTGTCAAATACATATATAAAGAAATGCTATTTCATTATTTGAAAATAGACATATATTAAATGATACATTTCATGTAAGCTCTATCATTTTCGTCTTTCACATTATCGAAAAATCTTTTATTTATTTAGAAAATAATAATGAATAATATTGAGGAAGAAATAATTATTATTTTCAAATAAAAATTTCATGTGAAATTATATGTCGTTATATGTATAATTATACATATAGGCTCAGTATAATTACACTAATTGAAACATGTAATTGACATCGTTAGTGCATCTCATGATTCTGCGATGTTTACACTAAACAGTTTGCGGTCGTTTTACGATCTTATTTTATGTTAACTGACATTTGCGAGTTGTTAACGTCGTGCAAAATTACGTACAAATCGTTGTGATTTATTTTAACAAGGACAGCTTTTATTCTACAATATAATATCAGAATATCAGAATAATTGATCATAATGAGTTATTAAGAGAACAAATTTAACTAGTCAAGCATAGAACTGTTGCAACTAAATGCACAAATCAAATTATAATTAAATTCAAAATATTGGATTAAAAAAATATGGGACAACAAAAAGATAGGATTATCTCATTACTTACGTTTATATTTATACAAACTAAAGTAAACTTTTATAAACAACGTTAATACATTTACATTTCTACCATTAATGCGATTACAAATTAGGGCGTCAAAATATTAGTGGAGTATTGAATTACTAAGAAGGGAACATTCACAGTAGCACAACCTAGTATCAATTGGCCAAAACATATTGGCGAACCGTGTAATAATTTGCAGTTATCGATACAACAGTATGGGATTTACTCTAATTTGCGATATGTATGTGATTTTAGGTAACAAGATAAAACTTGCCTTGGCTATTCAAAGTAAATAACCAAAGTGAGTAGTCCAACAAGAGATTTCTCCAGAGACTCTAGCGATATACGTGAGCGAGTGTTCAGGACGGGATCGTGTATTAAAGGGAGATGTGAGAAATGAAACAAACAAACCAAATCATACATGTCGCATGAGCTCTCGTACGATGCCATTCCATTCGCCGGTCTCCGGGTCTCGTGCGCCGTACTTCCTGTCCGGCACCAGCTCCAATCGGTACGAGAAGCCCACCTCCCTCGCCACCGCCGCCAGAAGGTCCATGCAAAAACCGTAAAATCGCGAGTTCCCGGTGTAGTTCTTTTCGTGGTGCATCATCACATACGGCGTCTCCTGCGTCCGCCGACGAGTGAATCGGGATTCATGCAAGAATAACGAAAAGCGCTTTGAGACCGCCGCGGCGTAACGCGGATTTATGACGAGACACGTTGGCGCCGACCATATCGAGGAACTTTCAACGGCTATCGCGCGTTTCTCGCTCGACTCGTTCTTCCAAAATGGGTGGTACGGCGGTATCGGAGTTGAAATGATAAAATAGCCGACATTATGCGGCAATCTACGTCGCCTTGCGTGATATCTTCCCTTTTTTTTTTTAGAAAGCAGAAATGATTATGAATATATTTGAATATATTCCTTTAAGCTGCGTCCAAATGTCGTATAATTTTGCAATAAAGTCGTGCGTAGATTTATATAAAGATATAAAAGAAAGAACAAAGTTATTGTGCAACAAAATGAAGATTTGATGGAAACTCACCAGTATAGTAATCACAATCAGAGTTACGTTCCCGATGCTAGGCTCGAAAAAGGCCGCAGTGTCTGTAACGTTGACGCCGGCGCCGGGACGCCACTCGCCGACCTAGTTTCGCATATAATTTTATTATATACCCATTTGATATTCGCGTTGTTCTTCTAACACGCTTCCTATTTTGCTTAGAGTAAGGCCATGACGTACCTTAACGAGTGAGTGTTGTTTCAGTTTCAGCAGATCCAATTTAAACTGAATTCTACGGCCTTCTTTAAATTCAATAGGTCCGGAGATTCCTTTCATCTCGACCTGCAACAAAAACCGTTGCGGATTCGCGTTCGTGAGAGTGCTCTCTTACATATGTTACATGCTTGAGTTCGTCAACCTTATTCCGCGCTCGATTCAGCGCGACGGTTCAGCAGATTGTACTTCAAAGAACAAACATTTTGTAGAGCATGTATATAAAATGCTCCAGTGAGACAGTATTGCAGTTGTCTATTCAGTCCCATTTATTTCAGTTGATAAATGAAATTCGATTCAACTAGGCACTCTAAGGTAATCTAAAGTTTAAATGCAGCAATATAGAGACAATTTTAAAGGCAAGAAAGGTTAGAAAGAAGAATTACTTTATTCCGGTACTACGACCGTAAAGTGCTTGAGATAAGACCTTTGACTACGTTGTATTATTATAACCCTTCAGCGCCACTATGAACACACTATAATATTCTCGACTTTTTCCCCCAATGTTTTTTAATGCTTTTTCCATTGCTTAATTTTTAAGGGAGCTGCGCAAGGAAACTTACGGATTATTTCCGTGCGTTGATACATCGTTAAATGCCAAAGTTTCGTGAACATTACAGTTCACTTCATCAAAATAGGAAGCAATCTGATACTGAGCTGTTTCTCTTAAGGATTCACTTTCTATACACTGTATTTGTGTTACAGACAGGGAGGGGGGAAGAGAAAGCTGAGGCAGTAGCTTATAACTCTTCATCAATAAATTTATTTAAAAAATTAAATGTACAAAATGATATGAATCTTTTAAATCCGTTAAATACTTTTTATTAAGTCTTGATACTTTTATGTTTTATTTATTTTATCAATTTATTAATTTAGTGTATAAACACATTTATCCGTTCAATGACCTTTCACAAGCTCACACATCTGCTATTATACACACTATTCTTATTTGCGCTCTGTTTTGTCATCTCATTGCTACTATGTTACTAATATAAGTTTGTTTTATTATTTTACTTAACTACCATTGCTTCAATCAATGTAAGTTTTCAATTAATTTTGTATATCGTTTATTGTAAATTGCGAAATTGCTAATTGAGGACGTAGTGACTAACTTGTCAGTATTATGCTAAAAAAAGATTTAAACCGAAACGTCTGTATTTAATTTCGAATAATATATTAACATGTTCCTATGTCAGTTCTCACGAGCTTTATTGGAAATTTTAATTTTTTAATAACGATATGTACATACATTTTCTTGGTATCTTAATGTATGGCGTTTCGATTGAAAAAAGAACTTTACAATATTTTTATTTTCAAGAAAGTTATAAACAATCGAGTTAGTTGAGTATCCAAGTGCGTTGTTTCCCTAGTGTAATGCCGAAGGGATAATAGTAAGTTAACCTAGACGAGAAGATATTCTACAAGCTCCATATAAACTGTGAACTGCATTAAAATGCGATGCAAGATGGATGCGCATCGCCGGCATAAATCTCTCAATTTCGACGCGCATCAGCGCGAAGACAAAACTCGTCATACAGTAGTTTGGCTAACAGCTAGCAGCCGTATTACGAGCTCAGAAATTTTCCTAGTTGCCTTAAAAATTTTCGCACTTAGAAAGTCGTTACCGTTTACGTGGGCGCGAATCTCGTAAAGTTGTTAAAGCTCCTTCTTGAAGATTTTACGCTACTCATAGGCTATTCAAACATGAGCAGTAGGTTATATTTGCCGGCTTCTGATAAAATGCCACGAAATCTACGAGGCCATTAAGCGATATTAAGAAAGTGACAGGATATTGGCGAGGAAAAAAGATGAGAAATAGATGGAAATGTATAGTTTTAGCGGAAATCATGGAATGCATGAACTTCTAAAAGAGATAGGTGCCTTCAGACTTTAATTTGTCGGCAATAAATAATAAAACAAAAACAAACGTTTCGATCCCTGTTGAATCACATTATCAATGTCAACAAAAATAACAGTGGAATTATTACAAAGTGTTAAGATATATAAAAATTATAATTCGCTCTCAATCGCAGTATTAATATTATCAACCTCGCTCAGAAGTAAATATTATAAGAATGTTGTAATCGGTAACCATTTATTCTTCTGGTTTATGTATGTAGATTATAAACAAAAACATAATTGTTTCTGTTAAAAAGTACAAATATAATTTAAAAATGTAATAGTAATAAATAATCAAATGTAATATGGCCAACGTTCGCCAACATTAGCGAATATCATACATATACATAAAATACATAATTTGACAGTGTACAACGCTCAAGCATGATAAGTAATGTTATTAAAAGTTTTGATATTTTAGCAAACAGCTTGAGCGTCCTACATAATTATTTTGTGTTTAAGTGTTTAGATTCTTCAGCAAACCTATTTCTATGTATGTAATAATTATCGTTAAAAACAAAGCATAATTTTCGCGAAATAAGGAACATTATTGTTTGCCGGTGAATTAATCTAAAAAGTTGGACGATTTTTATAATATTTCATATATTAAACGATGATTTAGACTGTTTATATATAAATGTTTTCCGACAGCTAGGGTCTGCACTTCAAAAGTCAAATATTTATCATATAATACAATATTTAAAAATCTTATCGTACCTTTCTATGGAATAACATTTTTGTTACAAAACCGAGGAAGTACAATTTTTTTATAGCAATGCACTTAAAACTGATGGAACATCCTTTTATATTTTTATTTTTCTATACGTTCGATATAACGCATACGTTTGCTATGAACCGCAAAAAATTAAAATATAAGAGCTCGGATTGTAAAAAAGAAAAAAATGGAAAAAGGGTGCGTAAAGAAATATACGCACACGGTTTAATAACTTTACAAATATTACTTTCTTTATGATCCAATTTTTCATCATTAATACAGTTTGTATTAGATTTTCAAATATTAAAAACTGTACAGAGATTTTATTGATGTTCTTGGGATTACATACTATGCACGGCAGGATGCAAGTGGCAATAAAATTCAAAAAACAAATAATACCAGATAAAAGAAATGTATTTCAGCTTATTCTCGCGACTGTAAAAATCGTCCCATCTAATCGTCGATTCACCTTTTCCGATTTGCGAGTAAAATTGCAGCAAAACAAAACAAAAACACATTTAATCCTTTATAACACTGTTATAATATTCTTCGTAATCGAGATTTATGATAAAAAACACGGGAACAAATAATATTTGTAAAAATAATAATACGACAGTTTAAGAGAGCGGAGAATTTTTTGATAACGTTTCATTTCTGCTAGGTAATGCAAGAATAGAATGAGTAGAAATGGAAAATGAAATGGAGCAGAGCAAACGCGAACCTAAAGTTTGATTACCTCATTAAGCAGAAACTTTCGTCAAGAGAAATTTGACGATTTCTCATTTCTATTGCTACACAATGCTACCATATTTTTTTTCTTAACAAGAAGGCAAGAAATAATTATGGCATAATATTCGTCTTCCTTTTAAAACAAAACCATTAATGTTCTTCTAAATTGTGCTCCTAAGTTAACTTAAAAGTTACGCGAGGCATAATTAATACTCCAACACACTAAAGCATATATACAGTCGCATCACATTTATCTTGGCCACATTCTTTTGCATTAGTTTTATATTTTCCGCGAATGCAGCCGAGTTGACTGTCCACCAGATTTTTCGTCAGCGCGGAACCATAAAGTGTGAAATTAACGTATGAAAAGCGACATTGTACTAAATTAGCAACATCGCATGTTTTAAATATATTACACCAGTGCCCTCATAAAATATTCATAACATGTAAATTATGCTATTGCATAAATGAATGTAAATGTAAAATGTTATGACAGTTCGCAAACCGCGACTACTAAATACCGCTTCACGCGCATTTAAACATGCTTCATGATAAATTAATAAAACAGATTTAATAAATAATGTCATCATATTTCTCTATATACATATATGGTAAATCTTCATATTTTATTATCGAGAATTATAAATTGTTTCGGATAAATAGAAAGATTTGACTGTTGCTAAATTTGAAATTGATAAACTTGAATTAGTATAATATGCACTTTGTAAATAGCATTACAAAGCTGTTCTTTCTTTAACTGACTTAAGATTTTGATTCTCTTTGCTAATAAAATATTGCAACTTGCTGGGAGAAAATCTAAAACCTTGGATGACTTAAAAATAAAGAAAATATAAAATTCGTATGATCATATATGTGGCATAATAAAAATAAATATAAAGTCGATTTGGAAGTTACATATATTTTACATATATTTTAGAGTTTTATAATGGTATAATTTATTTTACCAATTTAATTTGTCGTCTACTGATGAATGTTTATTAAATATTAAATAACAAATGTGATTTTTTGGCTAGGCTTTCATCTACTCGCATAACGCTCGCGACTTTAATAAAGTAGCGTGTCATAAAATCCTCGCCCAACAACTTTAATCCCCTTTGTCACGCCGATCAAAATTCAGGTGGGCCACGAGGACAGCCGGAACGAACGATCGGTAAATTTAACGCGGTATCCCCTGCAGCCGTTATCCGGCAGTCATTCCTGCGGCAAGTCTAATTAAAGCTAAAGCGGAAGTTACCACGGATTGTCGAGCGTGACTCAAATCCGAAAGTGACTTCCTTCCGCGGCGAGGAAACGTCGCGGAGCAACGGCGCCGGCGGTTGCTCGTCGGAGCATCGGGATAATTGTAAATTGTCATTACGGGAGACACTCCTTTTGTCAGCGAGAAAATCTCCTTTCATGAACGGACGTGATGCAACGACGAAGACTTTTATCATCGTGCGCTCTTCGCGAGTCTCGCGTCGTGCCGCATATATCTTGGCCACGCGAGCGGAATATGAGAAGCCGTCTTAAAAGCGAAACGCGTCGCACCGGCACGAATCTCGTAGCGCATTTTAGTCTCATATATAGAACACGTGATGGCACGACCGGCAAACAGATCTCATATCAAGCAGCAAAAGTGGAAACGCTATATTCTGTGAAATCAGAACTCCAGGAAAAGGAATTTTAGTATATCTTAGGAATTCTATTTGGACGATAGTAATAAATT